TTTTTTTTTGGATGGAATATACGAGTCCTGAACCGTTGTATATGAATGTCAGCTGTGAAGCAACTAATAGGACAGTTGATGTCAACTATAATGCAGGCTTTGAACAAACTCAACAAGGTTGTCACTGTAAAACAACTCCAGTCATTTTGGATTATTGAGCAATGGATATAGTCAAAATATTTCAAAAGCATCCTCTCAACGATGAATTTCCACCATAGGAATGAATATTGAATATATCGATGAAGTGATATTTAACTTCTCATACAAGACTTAAGAGAGAGTTCTCAACATCTATCATCAAACCCGATTGCCAAAAAAATTTAGTTTTTCATATGAAATAGCTGGTTTGAAAAACAATAAAACATGATTCGGATACTCCCAAATTTTTACAACTTTTTGACAAAGTCTTCTAATACTTCGGCAACCAGCTTCTATTGACCCAAAATATTGGTATGTCTAAAAAACACTGTTTTTAGATTATTTTTGGTTATGAAATTTTTGGTAAAAAAAAATGGATCGAAGCCATTATGAAACTATACCAAACGATAATATGAAATTCTATCTACAAAACCTTGTATTTCATATATATCATTACGTATTTTGGTAAAATAACATAATCCGTTATAATATAATTTGTTATGTAATCATTTTTCTTAAGTTCAAAATGAATTGTGACATTGTTTTATGTTCTTTCAAACCAACTAACTCATGTGAAGAACTAAACTTTTTTGACAATTGGGTTGAGTGGTACACCCTTTCTTGAAAATATATTTTTATAATGACGATTTATTTAAAACATAGGCTCTAACTTTTTTTTCAGTGGAGTTGTTTTAAAAGAATCATAAATAACTTCAATGATAAAATGCGTTAGATGTTTCGATTCTTTCTTGTTCAAAAAGCATGCGTTGTTCTGTTGTATACTGTATCAAGGTCGCAGTGTAACTGAATGATATTTCTACGTGTTTGCGTAGGAATGAAAGATTGCATATCTTTTATCACTGGCTTCTTTACCTGTTTTATTACATTCACTTTCTCATGAATTACATTGACAGCACAATCTTAACCAAATTTTATAAAATTCATCTTTTATCCAGAAATGATGCAACGTTTGAACTTGCTCCACTTACCATTGTTGCCAACGAATTTATCATTGTTTATAGTGTTGAACAACCAATGGCAAGTGCCACACAATGAATTCTGTCTGATGTATTCAAAATTATTTTGGTAAAAGATGTATAAAGTACTATTTTTCCATGTGCAATTGCAGCAGAATATTGGGTCTCGGAGATGATGATGTGCTTCTGATGAAATTAATACAAAACTTATTTATGTGGCACCTAAGCAATATAGATAGACGTATATTTTTATGCTCTATTCGATGAGAATAGAATCCAACTTGTACAAATTCTTTATCGTCATGAAATCAGAACATATCAGAGCAGTTTGGATCATTTAGTGTACAACTACAAGTGTAGCAGCCATAAGTTTGTACTAAGGTCTCGAATCAAAATGATAACTATTTATGGAGGTTCGTGTACGAAAGCGGAGGATACTTCTGTAGTTTAGATAAACTTGCACCGTTGCCATCATGTCGATCTGTGTGTAAAGATGTAACTAAAGTGCAGAAAGATTGTGTAGAATACGAAAAAGTGTTATAACGTTTTAAAAATCCACATAATCGATTTCTTTTTATTGGTGATGTTACGTCAGTAGAGAACAAAGCCAGTGTAGTAGCCTTCATATACGATCAAAATCGATTTTGTATTGATTTCTCTCTTTTTTTTTCGCTTCTTGAATCACATTTTATGCTCCATCGATCAGACCATCTGCCGCATTGAAGTGTAGTTTTCTGTCTCTGTCTTCCCATTGTTGAAGACTGTAGTAGTGCAATGATCCAAATAGTTCCGCCAAAAAGATCGATGCAATTTTTTTCTGTTCTACAAAAACCCTGAATAATCAAACTAATTTTATTTGAATTTCAGACACGAAGTTTTGCTTTGAAAATGTCCTTGAGTGATCTAGTAATGCAACGTATGAATCTACGAGATGAATTGAGCGATTCAACGCAACGTGGTTGCACATTATGGCTGCTAATTTCATGTGTTATTTTAACGTTTACCACGGCATTCGTCTACGGTTGGGGTCTTGGTGCACCGAATATGTACAATCACTATACAGAACTATTTCTCAAAGGCGAAAATCCTTGTAAGACTGAACATGAAACTACTATTCGATTGAAACAAAATGTAACATTGGTGCATTCAGTCAATATCGATAGGAAAGTCAATGATATTATCAACAAGGATAGTATTGAGAACAACAAGAATATCAGACCAAATAATCGAGTTTTCGATGAAACTAATCACGAACAACAAAATTTCAATATAGGCACTAACAAAAATGTTGAAACAAATACGATAAAGGAACGATTCGATTTTATTGGTGAACTAATTAAAGGTATTCCACAAACTATCTTTTTGATAGGCGCTTTCATCGGTGCATTAACCAGCCCATTCTGGGTGAACATATTCGATCGAAAACAAACAGTTTTCGCCAATTATATCTTTACATTTGCCTCATCCCTCTGTATGCTTTTGACCTACTATCTTAACCAACCATGGCTTTTCTATCTCAGTCGATTGCTACTTGGCTATCAAGGTAAGAAAAATGAATGTTTAATTGAATCAATAGTCGAATGAGACATGTCTAGGTGGCATGGCTTGTGTAGTTGTACCACCTTATATTGGTGAAATCGCTTCTCAACGTGTCCGTGGTGCAGCTGGTGCTGTCTTTCGATTGTCTTTAACCATCGGCATCCTCATTGCTCAATTAACTGGCATGCCTTTCATTGCTGGTACTTGCCATTCTTGGAGTTGGGGTCTTGCCATCGTCTTCTTGCTACCCTTTATTGGTCTGTTCATTCTTTTTTTGATACCGAATTCCCCTACACAAATGATTACCGTATACAACAATGAAGATCAAGCAACGGATGATTTAAGAAAATTGCGTGGAACAAGCAATGTGCAGACCGATGTTGACCTCATTCGTCAAGAAATACGACTGAGAACCAGTGGTAGCAAATCGGAACCTTTATCAATTCCAAAAGTAAATAAAAAACAGGAAGAAAAATAAAAATAGAATTCTCTCTCTCATCGTTCATATTTCATTTTTAGGTGCTCACTTCCACTCGCTATCGTTGGCCGATGTTGACCACTGTTATTCTTCAATTGTCACAAGCATTATCTGGTATCAATGTTATATTTTTCTACTCATCGAAAATGTTTCTCAAAGCAGGCATTTCTCCAATCATGATTCCCTATGCCAATATGGGTACTGGATTGATTAATGTCATTGCAACCATTGTGTCATTATCGTTG